GTTTTAGCTTGGTAGCATTATCCAATGATAACTAGACATTTTAGTATACGTTAAAATGATTCGTTGCTTTATTTCTTTCCTGTTAACATAGTAGTCTGAGTGCCCAAGTGGCAATTTAGTAGTTTATTGGTTATAAATCTCACGAAATTTTAATTTATTTACACGCAATTTTAAAGTCATTACCAAAATACAAACATTTTATAATTTTTTTATGTGTATATAAATACTTCATTATCCGTATTCTCAAGCTCTAGTGGTAATATTCATTTAATATTAAAATTATCGTGAACAATTAATTACAGAATGAATAGCATTCGTTCTGATTTGGAGGATTCAATATTAAAAACCCCTCCGAAAAATAAGTTTGTAAAAATATCTTAAGTTTTCATCAATCTAGCGCTATATGCACTATTTGTAATAATAAATCATTAACAACTAAAGTAGAAGTTATCGATAAGCATGCAAAATCATTTGGACATATTAACAAGATGGCACTAGTGTCAACAGCAGCTAAGATGGAGGCAGAAGGCTGAACTTTTATCTCACATAAAATATATTCAGCCAAACCCAGTTTGCTCAGCAGAATGGAGTTAGAAGTCTCTTTAGAAAGCCACCTTTCAGTGAGTGCTATGAGGTGATAGGTGGCTGGTTGCTTATCCAAGAACTCCTTGAGCACGTCTAAGTTTGCATGCAATGAATTGATGTTGAGAGAGCAGAAGTGGAATTGTTGTACAGGTTGCGCGGCCAGAGGTTCGATAGACAAAATTGGTGGAGCAGGTTCAAGCTGAGTGACATGAACTAGTCTCTGCTTTGTTAACGAGTAAATCTTTTTTGCTTGTAACTTGTTCGTGACAATCTTAAAAGCACCATATTTTAGCATTAAATTTATTTGCCGACTTTGACCCAGTGGTAGAACTACCTTAAGTCCAATATCCATTTTTGAGATGATTGGATATGATTGCAAAAGATCAACAGCAAATTCAACCACCTTTTCAATTAATGAAATTGGAGTTTTGTAACTAAAAAAAAGTCCTTTAACTGTAGTTTTACAATGTAAAACTGAAATTCTACAAACAGTTTAGTATTCTGGAATGCATTCTCATATATCAATAATTAATAACGGTTTTAATAAATATTTGTTACAAGTAGGCATGAATAAGAAAAGAAACGGCTGCGTACTAAATAATATAAAGTTTATTAGGTAAAGGTTGATGGCTAACTAACTTTCTGGATAATAACCCAAAATCCGTAGACGCTCAATCATCTACTCCCACTGTCATAAATCCCGGCTATTTGTATTGCTCTTTCACACTCCTCAACACAACCCCCCCCCCTCCCCCCGCGCTCAATAAAAATGAGATATTGACAGTATTACAATGTTTTTCTTTCATGTATTTCTACCATGAACCGAATTTTTTAGGAAACAAATTGAGCTTTGTTTGGCCCAGTAGTTTTGTAAACAGATCTGCCATCTGCTTTTCTGCCTCCATATATTTGATTTTAACTATGCTACTATCTTCTTTTTCTCCTATAAAAAATGTTTCCATCTCAATGTGTTTTATCCTATTATTATTTTCTGGATATTTAACTAGACTCATAGCGTCAGTTAGCTCCAGGCAAATCATGCTGTCAACTTTGTAATTTTTCTTACAACAAAATCGTAGATTTGTGTAGTAAACTCATGAATTTGCATTAAAGGAAAAATTAGTTGTCTCTATCAGTACATCACGAACGTGAGCTACAATAATTATTCTCCACAGTGCCAGTGGCCCAGGATAATCAGTTTTATGTTTCTGGGCGCGAAGCTGTGCTGGCGTCGACGCCGTCGTGCCTCACGTACGAATGTGTCTGTCGCTTTACGCTGTGTTACATTATTTTAGTGATTAATTACATACATTCATAGGATTGGGTGCGTGTTTTTGTTAATAAGAAACCAGAAACCTATACATTTTCGTTTTTCATGCATTATTTTCAGAACCTTCTCGTATCCAACTTCCCACTAGTTATTCCAGTCCACTAGATTTTATCGATTTTCTTATTTTGGCTGACTCGAAGTCAGAACAGATAGACTTTTTTAGAGTGAATTTTGATTATTTGTAGGCATTGTGAATATTGATTTATTACAACCGTCAAATATGTACTTGTATGCATTCTCTTTTATTTTTCGTATAGATTAATGTACATTCGCTTCTTCGGAAAAATATTGACTAAAAGTACCTACAACCTTCAAACTGCTTCTAAAAGTGATTATGTTTAGGGGGCTATTTTACTCCCAAAAAGGCGTGTTGGCGAAAGGAAAAAAAAACTTGTCTTGCGACATTTAACGAAGAGTGAAATGTACTAACTAAAAAAAAATAGGAAGTCACGCATTGGGATACCTTGTAAGTTTATAGCATTATTAATATTCGTTGTTTAGCAGCGTGTATCACTATAATTAGTCTACATGTGCAATATAGGTGGAGTTATTGGTACTTTACTATCTTATAATCATTATGCTAGTGCTGTTGGTATTAAAACTTTGAAGGTGAAAGGAAAATTGAAAAAAAGCTCACAAGGATTGTGTAACGAATACTGTTTCGATTACCTACGTTTTGAGTAATTTTGCCATGACCTATTTGAGCTTAGTTCCAAAATCGACATCACTAATGTGTACGGTTTAACGAGCCAAGAAAACTGATGGGACTGTTATATTAGATCCGAAGACGTTAAAGCATTAATCATACCAAATATATATCAAGTGACAAATGATAATAAGAAGTGAGTGATTTCTGTTACACGACAGCAAAGGAGGTTCGGAACGTTTTCTTATTTACCGTACCGCTAAAGTATTGGCTTGATGCTACTTGTTTCGTAGTGATGATACATTCAATTCAGTTCCGATGATTTTTAAGCAAATACTATAGATGAAATTTATCATGATTAACTGTTGCCTAGAAGAGTACTAATTGATTTCAAACGGGCATTCATTCACGATTTTGAAAGTCAATTTTCTGTGTGTTCTGTTTCCTGTTGTCGTTTCCACTTTTACCAGTGCGTTTGGCATCATGTACAATCTTCTGGTCTACAACATCACTACAATACCGATCTCAATTTTTGTTCGAACATTAAAATGTTGAAGGCAACAAGAATATCGCAAATAGAAACTAGTTTTGATTTTTTCACTGAAAAACGTAAGAAATGAACGAATATTTTAAGTACATTTTGGTTTATGAAAAAGAAAAATCCATTTTTATTTTATAAAAAAAATAATCCAAAGAAATTATAAGTTTCTGTTGATTAATAACGTGATAATTTACTTTTCTTAGTTTAAATGGTTTTTTTCTTGGTGGCATCTAGAGGTTTTGATGTTAATACTTATTAATTTGAGTACGATGGCGGAATATAGAAGTTAGAGTGGAAGGATAAGGGCCAGAAATGGGGGCAAGGGAAGGGGCAGGGTATATGAGGACAGAAGGATTTTATCCATTATAGTAAATCTAAAGGAATAGACGGTTAATTCGTTGCGGATTGAATTAATTTCGTTGATTCGTCATCCGGATCAAATGACTATCAGTTTTTTTGTCCATAAATCAAATGTAGGATAAAGTCAGTATCTATTGTCTTTGGACGATATCTTATTCAATCATAGAGTAATACGAAATGAGGCACGACGAATTTCAATCTGCCCTCGCGTTGGCGCAACATTTCCTAAAGAGCAGAAACATTAATGTATACATGGAGGCTTTTCTCTTATACACAAAATTTTGTATTCCTCTTTTCACGCAATTTTATTTCCTTTATTAACTAGAAAATTATGCAAGATAGAGGGAAATTATGCTTAAATTTGCCATATAAATCGTCCATGAGTTTGGGCGAACAACTTTCAATTGTTAATTAAAAGTTAAACATTTCGTGTATTCTCAAGTTGGCACTGACTGACGGCAATCCGTAATTCATGTTTATATTGTATCTAGCCTTAAATATTCATGAAACTGTTAAATTGAATAAATCAATAATAATCCTATATCCTAAACAGATTCATGTTTGTAAATAATTTCTTTTATATCTCAGAAGAATGTAGGTGATTAAGTGGTAAAGTTTTTTTTATGTTTTTATCAAAATGAGTACAAAAAATTATTTAATATAATAAAGGACATAGCATTTTATGTGATTCCAAATTTTTTGGCTGTTCCGAAATTTTTTTATCTAATTATTTAAAACTGAAAATTTAATTATTCGCATTGTCATTTGGGACACGAAGTTTTACTGACATCTGAAGAAAACAGTGTTGGTAGGATAATTAATACTGACTCGTGAGTAGTTCCTTTAAATTCGTATTTAACTCCTACCTATTATATATTGATTTTGAATGACTTTAAATATTAGAAAGCATCGATCAATTCACAGAACAAAATACTTATGATCTCGGCCTCCGATATGGTAACGGCCGTGATATTCAAATCGATGTAAAAAACAATTAAATTCATATTTTTGTTTCTAGCGAATAAGCGTATTAAAAGTTTGATAATCATCTTTAAAATTGATAAAGGATGAAAGTGTTCATTAGTTTTTACATTTTCTTAGTTTAAATTGTTGGAAGTAGCACAGTGCTTTGTAAACAACTTAAAAAGTAATGACATTGTAAAAACTTGGCCATGTGAGTTTACAAGAAACTTTAGAAATTGAACTCCTCGACAAGTGTTGCCCTTACTCGCTATTTGTACAACTGTTATTCTTCTCTTAACTAGCGTGGATGATTTAATGTCAATAACGTATTTTATTGATCTACATTAAGTAATTCAATTGACTTCTACACATTTCTCTAGCGTCAAATGAATCTAATCTAGACTAAATATTCTAATTCCGATATTAATTCTGTGAGCATTAAATCATGGAAATTAATTTTAATTAATCATTGAAAATCTGATCTTAGATAATTTACAATAAAAATTCAGAAGTTTTACGTAATTTTACGACTTGGAATGTAGTCTATAGTCTTTATTCTGAATTTTGTGTTCCAGGAAAGCCACTTCCAGTCCAAAACTGCACATTATTGAATCAAACGTTTACAAATATCAGGATAAAATGTATTGCAAATTATGATGGTGGTTTGCCACAAAGATTTTTCTTGGAAGTTTATAGAGAAGATCCTGATTCCCTAACTAAAAAACTACTATACAATATATCCTCAAATGAAGAGCCTAGTTTTATCCTTTCAAATTTAAGTGGTCATATTGATTCAGGAGTTCATGTTGCCGTGTATGCCGTAAATGCCAAAGGTCGCAGTCAAGCCGTTATTATCCGAAAAGTTAGTTTTCGTGATGCAGAAAAACATACAGGTAAACGAATAAAATGCAATAATAATGTATATAAAATATATGGATTCTAACATATGATGCAAAAGAGCAGTGTCTAGTTAATCTACGAGCAATTGCATTGTGATCGACGTGATCGATTCATATTATATTATCTACTTATTTTAAATTCTATTTCAAGGAGCACACGAGCTCTTATGTGAATTTCCACTACTCGAAAATAATAATTACTATTATTTATCGAGTGCCAAAGTTCCGCAAGTTAGGTTCTTCGAAAATTTATAGCTGTTTGGATGCACGCTGGTTAGAACTTGAATAAAGACAATCTTGCACATTTCGTGGGATTCAAAATTGTTTGTGATTTCACTCGGACCAATTAGGGTCTTTCAATGACGCCAGCTTCCGGGCTATACGAATTTTTCCGATGCAGCTCGATAGCCAATCAGTTACCGAATCGTGATCAACGACGCTAAACTGTAGCTCGTTATTCTAGCATTCATTCTTTTGTGCATTGTACTCATCAAACTCATTTGTAATCATTTTGTGCTCAAACATTCACCTCAACAGCTCACTTGACTCACGCAGTGCTCAACAAGTTCATCAGATTAGCTTATTCATCATCTGTTGCTAATTAATTAATAAACCTTATATTTGTTAATTAATCTGTGTCACATCTTCGATCGAGTAAACCGTATATTTTCCTCATTCTTTTTACCTTCCCAGTGGAAAGTTCCAAATGCAACAGATTATTTAGTTGGATCGGTCTCCCCTTCACCAGCTTCCTCCGGTTCGAAGCTCGATTTCTACTCCAAAATCGAAAAGATTTGACGGTTTTCAGTTGTGGGATTATTATTCACGTGAATTTGAAACTGCTGCGGAATTGAATAATTAAACCAACAAGGTCAGAACATTAATTATAGTGTCGCGTTTAAACGATAAAGCACAAAATATTTTAGGAAATTTGAGTAAGAAAGATTTGAAAGATTTTTAAAAATTAAAGGGATGTTTAGGGTATCATTTCTGTGAATTGCAATTACTGAGTAATCGTTAATGAGGAGAGAGAAATTATCAATTACTTCTATAATAGATAATATCGAAAAAAATTATCAATTGATAATGTAATTTGTAATTTAATGGATCCAATTGCTAATTAAAAAAGTAATTTGTCATTTCTTCGTTCCAATTACAAATCAACGAAGTAATTTGTAATTTTATCAATCAAATTACAAATTACTTTTGTAATTGATAATATTTTTTATAAAATTACAAATCACAGGACTATTTTGGAATTTTTTCTGCCAAATTACTAGATACAAAAGTAATTGATAATTTAATAATTTAAATTTCTAAATTGATAATAAGTAATTCTACTAAGAATTTATTAAAATTTTTATTCATTTCATGATGAAAGCATCACGTTCACATAATGAGACAAAAATAATGTTTTAATATGTATATCAACGATTCAACTTATGGTTCAATAATAAATTATGTGTTTTGAAGTTCACACATATATTTTGACCATAACACATATGTTTAAAACAACTTATTTATGTTTTAATGTTCGTCAAGATGTTTTAACGTTGAATCATACAATTAAACATTCTAACTTATGTTTTAATGATTAAATCTATGTTCTAATGAACTTATTTATGTTCGAATGGTCAAATATGTATTCTAATGTTCCGGTTTAAGTTCTAATAATGGAAAATGCATTCTAAGAATTTTTTTTAATGTTCTAATCGTCCAATATTCGTTCGAATGTTCTAAATTATGTTATAATGAACAAGAATATGATCCAACGTTACATTATGTGTTCTAACGTTTCGACTCATGTTCTAACGATCTTTTTTAAGTTCCAATGATCAAAAATATGTTCTAACGTTATATTATGTGTTTTAACGTTTCCACTTATGTTCTAATGATTGAATATGTGTTCTAACGAACTCATTTATGTTCAAAGTCTCAAATATAGGTCCTAATGTTCCAATTGATGTTCTGTTAATATCGAATACGTTCTAACGATATTATTCATGTCCTCATAGTGAAATATGCGTTTCAACATCCGTTGTCGTTTTATAATGCTGGAACGTTTTTTTCAAGCAATAAACATGTGTTCCAGCGCTTTAACTTATGTTCTAATAATAAAGAATGCTTTTTTACTCACTCGTGTAGGTTGTGATAATCAGAGATATTTGCTCATGCTGTATAAAAAAGTGAGCTATGCTTGAACTCGACCGCAACTTTGAATTTTATTAATGATTATTCTATGCTTGTATTCATTCATCATACGATTGTCGATGATCATTAGTTCTAGTCTATATTGCCTATAATCATGACTATTTATATCTCGCTCTTATTATTCGAGTGATGTCTTTTTTTTTCATTGTTAGTGATAATTGTTGTTTTTTTTAACAAACATTTTTGATGGCAAAAGTTTGCAAGAAAGACGGAAAATAAACTGGAGTGATTTATTACCAAAAGATGAATAAACACATTTACACCTCAATGGTAATGAAAATAGGGAGCAGCCCGGCCGAAGACTAGGGTTATTTCGTTTGTAGTCTATGATTACTCCGATAAAAACACAATAATCAAAGTGGTTACATGTGATTTAAAAAGCTTGTAATTTTAACAAAGGAATTTGTCTGCAATATTTAAAAAATAGTGGCTGTTAGCTCTCCACAATCTAAACAATTGATTGAAGAGATTTTCAGCTGTACCCACGAGGAGGACGCCACTTTTGCAACTAAAAAAATGTTTACCTACCTGCTTCACGTAAACTTTCCTTGATTGGGAAGACATGTCCTGCTTGTGTACCTAGGGATAATTTAGAAGTTATTACATCTAATGGAGAATTCGAATTTTTTTTTTTTAGTGTCGTTATGCAGACAATAATCTTTCAACCGCAGCAAAACATAGTGACGAAGTATTGAATTTAATAAATACTCCTCAAAGTTTTTGATATTCATTTAATAATTCTGAATCCGTTTGTCTTTCCGATAAAAATTTTTGAAAATTGGCTTCTTAGTCATTGGTTCCAAAGGGTTCTACACGTTGTACTTCATCATCACAAAAAAAATCAGAAAAGCTGTCTAATCCAGCACCGCAGTTTTCGTCTTGCACTGATGTGTCTGTAGTGCTCTGAAGTACTTCTTTTATTGCCATCGTGACATTTTTTCGAGCTGAGCTTGTCAAATACTCTCCTCACTATCTTTATGAATATCTAATTCTAAAGCTTCTGTATACTCTTGTTCATCTTTAGAATTAGCCTCTATCTCATGCGTTGACTCTTCATTATTTTATTGGAAAAAAGAATCACATGTTTTTACTCCAAATTAACGGAAGGCTTTCGAAAAATTGGAGCCATTATCCGTTATAGTAGCAAGAACTTTGTCATCTAAGATATCAAATTCTCCGTAGATACCTTTGATCATTTCTGCCACTCAGTCATACGTATGACTCCCATAAAATCTTCGGCACGCCAGTGCATAGGATTTCCTTTTGAACGTCAAACTATCATGCTAAGTCATGCCAAGAAAACGTCGAGTTTTGCGGGACCATACATCGGCTGTAGTACACACATGCTGTACTTTTACTAGTTCAGATTTGATTTCATCAATGCTCTTTGCATATGTATCACCAATTCTTCGAACGATACGTTTTTCAATGGTATTCATCTAACTTCATTCGTTTACATTTTTCAGAAGCAAATTGATTGTATTCATCAATTTTTTTTTTGTAGGCTCTCTAAAAATATAATAGTAACATCATAGTGAAATCCGTTTTCTTTTGAAAGTATTTATCAAAATTTCCATTAACAAAAGCATTAACACAAACAGAAAATCAACCGATAAAAAACGTTTTCCACCTTAATGTGGGTGACAAAATTCGATGACGTTTCAATAGAGCCACAAATTAAATGATCTGCATTATTTTCTGCTTTACAAATCTGGCGCAGTGCGTCAATGGAGCCAGTCAATGATGAATTTTCTAAATCTAGTGGAAAATATTTGCCATCTAAGTATGGACGTTTATTGCATTCTTGAAGTAATTCTTCTCTTCATTCTTGAATATTTCTGGGAATCAATTCTCTCGAATTTGAAGAACTCGAAGTATTTGGATGGCTTTCGATAACATCATTAATTGATGAATTGCTTGAACTAGATGACATTTTTTCGTAATCTAAAAAAAAAACGATTTTTTAAAACAAACGAAATCTCATAAACTCATCGGAGGTGCCAACGATAATGCCTCTGCTAGGGCGAAGGTAATTCATGATTTGACCCGGATTAACTCGAATTGTACTTCCAAGATAAAGAATAAAATGAAAATAAGTAAAAAGTAATAATTGATTTTCCACGTTCAAATTCACTGACTGTTTTTTCTCCGAGTGTATATAACGACATATACGTGTATACGATAATATATAATTACATAAAGTCATATAAAACTTAAAAACCAGAAAAATATTATTGTACAGTACAGCACTGCGAAGGCGCGCTGAAGATTGAGCATTTTGGGCGTTCTGACAAAATATGCCGTTAAGCGCCTTTTTAATTAACATTAACAAAAAAATATTTCTAATATCTTGAAAAATCTGGAAAAATTCTGGAATGTTCAGAATCATTTTCTGAACATTTTCCAATTAAAAATAGAAGGAAAAATGAATTTTTCGATTTTTTATAGTATCTGAAGCGTCATTTTTTGAAAATTTTTTTCGTGAACTTTGCACTCTTATATTTTTTTACTTTGAAGGCACATTTTATAGCTAATTTAGAAGCAAATAGGATTTTTCTCGCTCTAGAAAATGGCTATCTCAGTTTTATGAAAAAAAAATTTTTTTAATACTAAAAAAATTCAAATGTTGTTTTTGGATTCTTTCACTCTTATATTGGGAATAAAGTTCGTTTTTAATATAAAAATGATCTACAGCAAAGTTTTATATCTTCATGTGAAGAGTAAGAAACAATTTTTTTCAGCATTTGTTACACATAAATTTTATAAACAAATGCGTAATTTTT